TTTTTTAACCGGAAGCCCTTCAAAAAACAGCAAAATCGGCTCAATGATGATCTAAAACTAAAATCGGAATACGCCGTCGCCCTATAGCGCTATAAGCGCTTGTCGTTTCGAGCCCAAGGTTAGGCCTCACTAAGTGACGTCACCCACGGAGCATGCAGGCCTTGTTGTATCGGTGGTAACGCCCCTACTCGTGTATTCTTGCCTACTTTCTATAGTGGCCGTAGGTAAATTACTATTTCAGTTGATGTCTGTTCAGCGCCTTCGTAATATATTCGTTTGTTTCAGTATTATATCATTATGATATGATGGTATTATTGAGTGAGGTTCCGAAAATTTTCGTATATAGTATAAAGGTAAACAAAATCATTTCTCACACTTATAGAATTTTGTACCTGGCCTGGAATCATCTGTGTCTTTAGATTTGGAAAAGTTCCCACAGGTCTCAATGCTCCTTGCATCAGATGTTTTCCTTTTAAACATCGTAGGTGGACTTTAAAGTCCCCGGTGCTTTCTTTGTCAGTGTCAGCTGTTCCATCCAACCTTACCCAAAGTTACGTAAAAAATCTCCCTACCTCTGTCCTAAGGAAGGTGGCTTTAAGGGCGAATTGCGCTTCTTCAAGTTGTACCTGATGATAACAACCAAAGGTCATTCGAGGATGAAGACTGTGGTTTCTTAACAAAATGAATGAAAGATGGCTTTAGAAATTTGTAAGAAAAGAAAAGCAAAGTTGTGTAGGTGCGCCTTGATTTCTTTCAAAGACGTTGGGTATAAGGCACACTTTGGCTCATAATATATGCAAGCCATTTATTTAAATAGCCGTATTCAAGATGCTGGATTATACTGGGTGTTTCATTTTGAGGTGGATCAAAGCTCAATGCTGACAATGCTCGATGTTCCTTCATTAAATGACTACTCCACTGGTTACATCAACTCCTTAGATTTTGATACAGGGTGACTAATCGATAAAATCAAAATTTGCCGTTGAATAACTAACACTTTATTTGAGATTTGCGTTCAAATTTCGGATGGAGATATTCAAGCTATGCTTGAATCAAATAGGCTAGTCATACTGTTTTGAAATTTTGGCCCCTTCAACAATCAAAAGTAGGCCTTGATAATCTGAATATTTCATATTTGTCCACATTTAAGGGTATAGCTCGTTGGGTAATATATTATGGGATTTTTGGTTTTGAAAATAATGGGCGTGTACACCTTAGTAGAACTTTTAACTCAAACCATGTTTATAATGATCCTTTTATACATAAATAATGATTGACGACATAATTCGATCGAAAAATTAACTGGAATGTTTTATTTCTGGACATAAATAATAGTACCTTCGGAAAACGGACCCTCTTATGACGTAGAAACCTCATCTCGCCATAGTTAAAAGAAAATACCAAACGCCCCCGACGGAGACTGAGGCAACTGATATATTAATTCTTTCAGCTGTGATCTCGCGCTAATTCACTCTGTCAGAAATCATGTATCATTCATCTCTGTCTGGAATAGTCTTGTTTCAGTATTAGGGTTTTGACGTCACATCATCGCCTCGTTTTCAGAGGTCCGAAAAATCGGGGATTTCAATAATTTTTTATAAAACGTAGGGAGCTCACAGCAAGAAACGGTTTGCGGTGGTGAGCTAGTTTGGGTGAGTTCTATCGAATTATGAAATAAATTTTTTTCGTGATATAAGCCCATTATAGGAGGGTGTTGCGGGTTGAAATCGCACACACTGTATGTTCACATAGAATTTTCACTTGTAATATCACTAGAGGTCAAATTATTTCCGGAAAAAATTCCCGGAAAGTAATTTGTGGTAGCATCTTTGGTATGATCCAGTTGCATAAAACCTTAATGCAAAGAACATTTTAGATTCTTGTAGTAATTCCTTTCATATTTTGACCTATCCACTAAGTGGGGTCTTTATGATTGCATAAAAAAATCGTACTTACCAAACTGAGGAGCTTTTCGAGGAAACGAAACTATTAGACATCCGACAATTATTCTATTTCCATATACTCATTTTCATGTATAAAAATAAAAACATAATCCAAATAATCGACCATTATCATGAAACTAGACAAAAAACCAAATTGCACGCGAGAACAGAAACGTCAAGAAAAAATATTGGTCAACGAAACCACTATTACTTGGCATCACGAATATACAACCTTTTACCTGATGAAACTAAAAAATATATAATGAAATACTCTAATATAAATAAATTAAAGAAACAATTCAAAGACCATATTCACAATGTGGATCGTTTAACTATGCACAAAGTATAGTGAATATAAGGAATTTAGTCTAAATATGGATTTCTTTCAACTGCTGAATTCAAGTGTGATTGTTTTAGTTAAGTTAGTTAGCTACTGTCAATTATAATTGTACATATTTTTATGAATAGCCCTTTTCTGTCTGTCATCTTCATGTTCATCTTCTGAATATTCTGAATTGTAAGCTTTTCGTCTTTTTTCATCCACACTCACTCTACTGGAATATCAATATATGATTAAAATGCATGACAAAACCCACGTACAACCCTGCGTTCCTGTGGGCTTTTTGTTTATTGTAACAACTTCTCATATGATGGTATTATTTGATTCTTTCGATTTTAATTATATTTCATCTTGATTACGCCTACTAATTCTACCGTATTTTAGTATAAATCCCACTGCTAGCCTATGTGGCCTCAAAATTGTATATTTACCTTGCTGTATCGTTGTTGTTGTTGTGAATAAACATTATTATTATTATTATTATTATTATTATTATTATAGTGGGCGGGTCTTTATGATTCCATAAGAAGTGAGAAGACGAACCAACCTTTTGTTCAATCTGAATAGCTCAATAAATCTTTTTTCAGATAAAGTAAGAGGATTAGGTACTTCTGTTTCATAGGTCTTATCTTCGACGAATTAGATCCAAATTTCTTTGCTGCTAAAATTCCATCTCGAACAATTAGTAACATTTTTATATTTATTTATTTAACCATATATAATATCTACACATATCTTGCTTCAGTGCGAATTTGAAATTTGAATCAAGTAAATATGCGTCTTTCACGAACTCTGGATCTTATTCAATCAGTCACATCCATGAATTGTTTATGAAGAAATATTGAATTTGCTCAAATAAACATTTTGTTTGATTCAAAATAACAAGATATTGATTCAATCATATATTTAATTGATTCAATGAATCATTTGGTTGTTTCAATGAAATATTTGGTTGATTCAATGAAATATTTTGTTGATCCAATGAAATATTTCGTTGATTCGACAAATTGTTTTGTTGAATCAAAGTCAGTATTGATTCGGGAATTTCCTGAAATTTTACATCAATAGAATAAACTCAACTAGGGAACTAGTCAACTTCTAGCATATATCTCCAGTCTTTCTCTTCAGCTGAAGCAAAACTATTTCGGCTTGCTAAGCATCCTTAGTGCGATTTATCCAGCTGATATTTCGTATACGAAGAATCAGGCTTCACGTACATAATGAATTCGAGGCAGGCATAGACGAGACGAAATGATCGCCATCTAGAGGCGAAAATTCAAGTTGATGTAGAATGAACGAAATATTTCATTGATATTACATATTTCGTTGCTCTTTTCAAGCAAATGATCCATTCGAAACGAGTTCATTGCTACATCGGAATAAGAAAACTTGTATGTTGTTTCAAAGATATATTCTCATCAGAATGATCATTATTTCATCAACTCAACAAAATGTTTATAGTTGAATCAACATCGACATTATTTTGGATCGACAAAAGTTGTTTATCAGATAACCATATATTTTGTTGATGGAATTGATACCTATTATACTGTTGATTCAATTAGACTACATTCTTGATTTGAACAAGCTGCTTCCATGAAATAATCATGTACCTGTTCGATTCAACAAAAAATTGATCAACAAAAATAATTCAAGCATAGGTAAATAATTTGTTGATCTTCTTTTTTTTCGTGTATACAAATTACTTGAGTTTTTAAAATTCCGGCTGTCCGGATTTTCAAACCTTGTCATGGCGTCATCCACCAATAATTAGAATATCGGTGGACGATGCCATGCATGGTTTTCAAATTCTAATTTTAGAGATGGCAACCCTAGCACAGATACCCTAGACAGCTCAGCACATTAAATTTGTTTTTCTCCGATTGGCAGCAAATATTAATTTTGCTGACACATATCAATCAGCAAAATCAATAATCCATAAATCGTTTAGAATTTCCTTCATATTTCATCCGAGACTTCTCCGGCAACAAATTCAACTCTATATTTTTTGCCACCTCCCTTATTTCTGGAGGTGTATAAGTACTTCCACTGTCCATTATAAAATAATTTGAATATACCGATATTTTTTCGCACAACTGTCAGAAATTTCATGAATTGTCAAACTATAATTATTATGGACATTTCCATAGCAAACAACCATTCCAACAACAGACAAAATAAAGAGATATATATCATTATGAACAATCGGAGAAAAAATTATATATATACTTTGCTGCCTAGTTAAACAAATAACTATTTCTTGCCTTTTATTACTACTGATAAGTCATCAATATTGCAACAGTGTAAAGGTTATCGTTGATTCATTGACCCTGGCTGGCTACTGTTTACTTTCAAAAATCCCCGAAAATCCACGTTACACTTTACCACGCAGGTAAACATAGGTATAGATTGCTCCGCTTCAGGTATACCTATAGTAATTCAAGATAGGGTGTCGCATCTGCCAAGGCGGCTGTGGCTGAGCATACGGCGTGTGCCAGTCTCCTGATTGGCCAGAGACTCGTGTCTGCAGATGCTCAGCCCCCCCACTCCCTGAAATTCGGTTACTTTTCCTAGCCGCCCGCCTGAAATTATTCAGTTCAAGCTACCGCGTGGTCCTTGGAGGTCGCTGAAGACTGCGCGTTTCTGCTACCGGGTGTTACGAAACTTATGGGATTTTGTTGTGTGTGATTTGTTTAAAACGCTCTGTTTTGTGACTGATGGGGATAAAGGAAAACGAGCCTTGCGATTGCAAAGGTGAACAGAAGAAAGGAGATAACATTTTTTCGCCGCTCAAGAGCAAAATGAAAGTTCTGAAGAAGATCAAACGTCGCATGGGATTAGGTTAGTTCTCTTTTTAAACCTTCATCACGGCTATACTTGATGTCAATCGATTCTATTTGAACATTGTGGTCACTTCCTGTATTCCTGGAAAACCGCCGGATGTTATAAAAACAAACTCGGATAGGCCTTGTCAAATTGAACAGCTCTAGATCTACATTGCCTAAATCAGATTAGAACTTGGCTTGACAACCATAAGAAATTGATCTGTTGACATACAGTATAGCAAGTAGTGTCAAGTTTTTATAGATTCATTCGTTATCAGTTGTTTTCATTTTATTGTATACAAGACCTAGGTAGGAAGGCTTGCTTTCCCATAGAGTTCGTTCGTTTCAGAAGCTAAAATGAGATAATAATTAGGTTTCTTATATGATGTAAATTAACTAGACACACAATTTCTTCTAAGTAAACCTACTTCTTATGGTAGTTCGGTTCTCTCTTACTGTTTTCTGCATTTCCAATGTTAGATGATGAAGTAGATAGAGCCTAAGGACATTCTAAACATGTTGCCAAAAGCCTCAAGAGGACGTCTAATTCCCTTCATCATAATAACGTTATTATAGGATGCCAATTTTCATTTGAAGACCGCCTGGGTACATTTCTATATATGAACCTAGGGATAACCTCAAAATGTTACCAAAATCTTCATAGTTTCAACACACTACTCAAGGAAAATTGTCCTTCATTTTGGTATCGAGATCATCCCAATACATCGTTGATTAAGATGAGAAAATCGATTTCCTTAGAAGGTATTATGTGTGAAACGTCTTCAGGTCGACACTGGTGGATTGTGAAAGAATATGTATTAGACGTCATTTGCATGTAGAAAAAGGTGACAGGTGGACGTCCTAGAAATGTCTTGCGGCTGCCTTTGAAAGATCCTGAGACGTCAATAGAATGTCTTTGGGGGATATCCGAGAGGATATCATTGTGATGTTCTGAGACTTCATTTGCATGTAGAAAATGATAAACGGTGGACATCCTAAATACGTCTTGCAGATGCTTCCTGACATCATCAGGGCATTATTAATACCTCCTCAGAAGATTATGTTATCTAGGAGGTAACTCAAACTCAACTGTTTTCAAATGGATCTACTGAACATCAGAGCATACTTAGCAGTTATTCAATCAGTAATGATGTTATATTTGAATAATATATGTAGGTTATGTATGATGCGCAAAGTATCAGAAATATGTCTTACTCAAAAGATCTACTTATCAACTGACCAATGAAAAGGAGAAATAGAAGAAATTACTCTAATCAGAAAATCTTTATTAGACTTGATTGGAATTGACCCCACGATCTCCTTTTCAGTGAATTCGAATTTAGTCTAGTTACCGAAGAAATCGTACATAACGCTTTACATACATATTTTTAATGACTGGCAATCTAAGTAGGTATTCGGAAATGTAGATACTACAGGCACTACACTACAGCCGAAAAAGGATCATTATTATTATTCTTCCCATGCCCCTTTCAATTAATATTAGTTCTTCAGGTAATCATCTGGTGTGCTTTGGAGAAGAGCTACGTAAGGCTGAGTTTCCATTGTTGGTCGTGACGTTATTTTCACGTTAACTACTTGCACACGACTTCGGCACTTCGGCTTGTTCCCACGGTAGCAAAGCGGCGTTGCCAGATGGGATCAAAAGTCTGGTATATCAGAATATTATTTTTTATAGCAAATAGTTGCTATATTATTGCACGTGGGAGGCTCTCTCAGGTTATTCCTTCGTTGCTATAATAATAATGGCACTGGAAATGATGTTGCTATAGGTCAAATAAATTCGAAAATAGACTAATGGCGAGACTAACGGCTGGTGAATTATTTATTGTTCTTCATTAAAACTCATCTGAGCATAATTTATTAAGCGAATAATTCTGTAATTTCCTCGGTAATTTCAATAGCAACTAACACTTGGCAACAATGCGAGCGAATCTACGATAACTAAAGCCATAATTCTTTTCTCTTCGTTCTGCTGTTTTCAGCATAGGAAACAGTAGGACGTTTCTCATACCATTAAGTACTATTGATTTTTCATTGAAGTAGATATTTATTCAGGGAAACCTACTGCGTGTTGTTTATTTATGGTCACATTCTCACGGTGGCTCAAGAAGTTATCTGAGAACTCAAAACCGTATATGGACAGTACCTATATATATGAACGAAATAAACAGTCCTGTAAATGGTTTGAAAATATTGTAGAATAGCTATTCTACTTACTCAAGTGTTAGCATAAGGCGAGGCATAAGGTAGTCCCGAGGGTAGTCCATTACAGTATATTTACAGGGTGTTCAATAATATGTGGGACGCACTTCCAGGGGTGGTATATACCCTCGTATAGACCGTCTAAAAAAAATGATGAAAGTTCGAAAATCATTTGTCCAAATCTCCTTCGTTTCCGAATTGTACAGTGTTAACATTTTTTTGTTTTTCCGGTTTTTTCCTTAAATCTCTTGCAGTTTTGAGGATATCTCATTCAGACAGAAAGTTGAAGATGATAATTAAGTACAGAACATTTCATTTTCTCAAATAACCATTGTAGATACGGAACATATAAAAGAGAACAAAAATGTAAAATAACTATAAATTGCAATTTTTATTATGGAACCAGCTGCAAAATTATCTTATACTTTTGTCACTATCACTACTAAATCTATATATTATTCGTCTATTTCAAATGAATATTAATACGTTTTCTATTAGAAACTCGCTAGGTGGTAGTCACTACAAAATAATGAATGGTCCTTTTTAGATTTCCCTTGGTGTTAGTGGGATGAGGGCTTTGAACTATCCTAGACGAACTTTTAGGGGGAATCCGACAGATGGATATACTCTCACGAGAGTTGAATTTTTCGGCAGATGCAGCATCATTCTGGGGCTATATCTACTCTTATTTATTTTCACACTTGCATTCCACAAGTTTGTTTAGTTGAACAGTGATGTAACGAACATCGTTATGATTCATTGTATAGTCAATTCAGAGATTAATTTAACTTTTTAGTTTCATGTAAGCATTATAAAAGTTGATATTTAAACGAGTATTTGAACTTGAATAGCTTAATTGCTTTTCCCATATAAGCTTCTATTATAAATTATTATAAGTAATATTACGATGTTCTGAATATTCGAGATAATTCTGTCGCTTCATTGTTCACGAAATTTCGTTGCCTAGCAACACCATGAGTCCGTCAGGATTATTTCAAAGTCTGTCGAAAACTGCGTTGATTTTTCACATAATATTCGTGTTATGATTAGGTTTTTCTTCTTAAAATGAAATGGAAATCAATTAATGAAATAATTATATCATAGCCCACTTAATAGCACGTCACTGAATGAAGAGTGTTGTCAAACTTCACAAATTTGATCGCCTATTTTGCTACATTTCCCTAGTTCATTGACATTTAGAACTGCCAATTCACGTAATAATTCGCTATCAACTAAGCAGGATGTTTCATAATATATAGAACGCCTTCTAGAGGTGCGTAGGACGTCTCAAAAAAAAATTTGGAAAGTTCCTGTAAACGTTGAAATTGAAAACAAGAAATAAGTTTCGTTGCATTGCTATACAGTGTGTCCCACTTACCATGCTCACCATGGGTATCTTTTTAACGGTGAGAGATACGAGGTCGGTTAAATGACACCAAATGTGGAGTTTGCCAATGCCAACTATTATGTGAAAAAATATTTTCATGAAATCTATTCGTTTTTGTTTTATACGCAAAAAACAGATTTTGATCATTTTCATGTCTCCTCCGTAACTTCTTTATTTATGAAAATATTCAAATAGGAATTTCACATTCTCATGGCAGTTTTTCAAAGTGATTTCGAAAAAAATATCAAATTCATACCAACTCTTCTAGAATTTGAGATATCAGCACCAACTTTAGTTTTTCAAATGTAGGTCATAGCTCACTATGACTTAGTTACAAATAACTTTTTTTTCTCTTACAGATGATGTGTCGCAGTAATAGTTTTGTGTTGATACTAACGGAGTTATCGTCATTTATACAAATACAAAAAACTATTTGGAAGCCGCCATCTTGAATTTATGAATTTTAACAGAAAAATCATGATCTCCGACCTCAAAAACCCCCACTCACCAATTTTGAATGGAATCGGACCAAATCTTGTCCGCCATCTTGGAGCAGCCATTTTTTAAATATCAACAAAAATTCCATAATGTATTGTCACCGAAATTATGAACACCTGCCAAATTCCAAGTTGATCAGAGTTATGGAATTTTTGTTGAAATTTAAAAAAATGGCTGCTCCAAGATGGCGGACAAGATTTGGTCCGATTCCATTCAAAATTGGTAAGTGGGGGTTTTTGAGGTCGGAGATCATGATTTTTCTGTTGAAATTCATAAATTCAAGATGGCGGCTTCCAAATAGTTTTTTGTTTTTGTATAAATGACGATAACTCCGTTCGTATCAACACAAAACTATTACTGCGACACATCATCTGTAAGAGAAGAAAAAGTTATTTGTAACTAAGTCATAGTGAGCTATGACCTACATTTGAAAAACTAAAGTTGGTGCTGATATCTCAAATTCTAGAAGAGTTGGTATAAATTCAATATTTTTTTCGAAATCACTTAGAAAAACTGCCATGAGAATGTGAAATTCCTATTTGAATATTTTCATAAATAAGGAAGTTACGGAGGAGACATGAAAATGATCAAAATCTGTTTTTTGCGTATAAAACAAAAACGAATAGATTTTATCAAAATATTTTCTCACATTATAGTTGGCTTTGACAAACTCCACATTTGGTGTCATTAAACCGACCTCGTATCTCTCACCGTTAAAAAGATACCCATGGTGAGCATGGTAAGTGGGACACACTGTATAGACGACCACTTGACGAAAATTCATGATATTCAAGTGAATCACTAAGTAGATATAGTCTTTACTGAGTTAGTAGGAGTGGCTCCGGAAAGAAAAATAGGACACGTGAGGCCGGTCTCTTTGAATTTCACAGGGACTGATGGCACGTGGC